CCGGTAAAACATGATGCCCCTTTCTCTCTTGAAAAAGCTTCCTCAAGCCATTCTCAGCGGATTGTGGATCAAAGTCCAAAACACCCAATAGATTCATAGGAAGAAGGAAGTCCATGCTTTCCAGCTGAACAGGATGAGACTTGTTGGCCACCACAATGTATGATGTAAAGTTTGATATGTCCATAGATGTAGCCCCTCCTGTTATCAAATGTCTGAGTTCAGAGCCCTGTGCATACGTTTTGACAACAGAGAGATGCTTTTCTTCAGCATCTTTCCTCCAGCTGTCCTTCTCTGACATGTCTGTGATATATTTCTCAAACTCCTTTGAGGGTTTAGCTGTAATGAGGTTCCTGCTGCTGCTTCCGTCTCTTATGTAGAAAGACTTGTCACCTTTATTCTTCTTCTTCTTCTCTCCAGCTGTGGGCTGTTGCATCTCATCTTCATTTATCTTCACATTGTTAGTGTGAAAGCGATGGCCTTCACAGATTATAGATGACGGCTCTATGTCCACCTCAATAACATATTTTCCAGAGGGTGTCATGTCTGCTTTGAGAACTTCAACAAATCGAGGAGGTTTAATGCACATCTTTGCTATCTGAACTTTATCTGGATTGAAATGTCTTACAATTGCATATTTGCGTCGATCATCAAACTCATCTGTTTTTGGGATGTCCACACCCAAAATTTGTCCGTGTGGATCGTCTGAAACTCCGAAGTGAATGGTGCCATTAGTGCGGCTGTTCATACAAGCTGCTGCAAATCGAATCACCTCATCAGTGAATTTCTTCATTCTCTTCTCCTCTGTTGTGTTGGTGAAGCCTTTGAATTCATGACAGGGCTGAATGAGGTCTTTAGGACCGGTTTCTGTCACATCTAGAATGCTTTTTTCAATGTACCTGTAAGCGGCATCATGTCTTTTGAAGGGGTAGGGCTTCATGCTTGGCCACCTCACCGTTTTGTTCAGCTGTTGAGTCTTTGGGTTCAAAAGATTAATGTGCTGAATAATCATTTCTACTGCATCTGATTTCATTTGTTGCACTATAAGATAGGTCTTCTCCAAATGAAGAAGATCAGCTCCATTAACTCCCTGACTATACAACAATTCTGCCTCTTCTCTGTTCACATTTATCTCAAGTAGCCATTCTCTCACATGCTCTTTATTCCAGTCCTTTGTGTCCATTGGACGGTTAGATGAAACAGCTGTCCTGCCTTGATTTTTCTGAAAGAAAATCAACAACTAAAGTTACGATAGCATTGACAGTAGACGCCTGGATGTTAATTATTTAATATCTATGAAATAGCAGTAAGATAAAAATATAAAAATATTGGCCTTTTTGGTGCTACTTACCCCAGAATGTGTTGGGGTTTCCATACTGGAACCAAAGACTCCTCTGATCAGGAGGTTATGATACTGTAAGAAAATAAAACATGGTAATTATTATGATGCTTGTGTTAATAATGAAAATAATAGTAATGAAATTAAAAATTATTGAATGCATATATGTCATTTGTGTATAAGTCACAAGTGTTTGCCCCCTACTGATTTCTTAATTTTTGGCATATTTATTACACTTTATTATTTCAGACTAATTTAAACATTAGTCAAAAATAACGCAAGTACACACATCATGCAGTGTTTAAATTATTAAGGGAAAACAAAATGCAAAACTACATAGCCCTTTGTGAAAAAGTGTTTGCCCCCTAAAACTAATAACTGGTCAGGTCAACTTTAGCAGTAAAGTATTTTCAGTATGTGACAAAGGAGGTTGTCACTGGCCTGCGGCAGAACTGCATATGAACTCTTCATCCACATGCATCCATTAAATCACTGTACTTCATACTCACCATCAGCCGATGACAGGGTGCACACTGTTGTCGTGCTGCTGGTGAGTATGGAGTACAGTGGTTTAATGGATGCTTGTGGAGGAAAAGTTTATATGCAGTTCTG